GTATTTCTATGCAATGCAATATTTGTATGTGATGCGTTAAATGATACTACAATTTCTACAGTAACTTACAGCTGTACCTTGCATTGTACTATTAACCCTATAGGACGGGAAGTCAAAGGCAAGCCAAGTATACATAAGAATAGGCTTGATTACACTATGTTTTCCTCCAGGTGAGAGATTCTATCACCCCGAACTTCAAGTTAAGGGGTGTTTTGATCAGAAATGGTGTATTTTTAATCATTTCTAGTGCGCGTGATATAATCTATCACGTGGGAGGGCCAATCAATTTCCTGAATTGTGGGGTACGTCATACCGGATAACTATAAATCATGAATATAATTATGAACATGCTGAACCAGATAATGCTCCGGATACTGTCATCAGCCAATCAAAGGGGTAACAGGTTTGCACATGCCGCCGATTGTATCCTTATTAAGTTCAAGGAGTGTGGCTTGTGATTGGCTCCAAGTTCAAATTTTGAATTCCAGCCTTTCTTTTTCACTCTTGATTTTGAGTACCACACGTGAAGATAAGCCCGATGACCTCGCCGCTGCGTCATTCAACGCTTCCCTCCACTCCACGATTGACCGCAGGGTCACCGGCCGTACTTTCCATGTCCACTCCAACGCTTCTGAGCGGTCATGTGGAGGCGACTACATGCGTGCTGTGCCATCAAGACCTAGGGATGGCGTTGAGGAAGTGCTCAAGGTGCTCAAACACTTTTCATCACATGTGTGCCATTGAAATTGCCGAGACGCAGGGGTGGAGCGAAGCACCGGAGGGACAGGAGGTACGTTCGACACTACTTATCAAACCCAAGCTAACGCTATGTAGGTGTGTAGCATCAGATGTCATCAATCGTGGGGTGATATTGCATTCAATTCGTTCGGGTCGCAGCTTTCGTTAGGCTCACAGTTTCCGCAACCTTCTATGTTGGCACCAAGTCTACCGCGACCGTTTCCGGTGACTCCTGGAAAACGAACTATGCTACTGCATCTTCCCGCAGAAGTATGCTGCCTCTGCGACTACGACGGTGTCAATGGAGAGCCTGTGTATGATTGCCGGGCGAGCCGATTCACCAGTTGTGAAAACAGTGTACACCCAGTTTGTTCCGGTGACGCGTTTGATCTTTTGGTACTTACATCTAATTTGATATAATTTTATCAATATCGAGGCTAGGTATGCAGTGAGGAATGCAAATATGAGCTTCGGAGTCGCCAAAGAGCAAATGCAGGCGCCAAACGTGTAGATACTCTGAAGCAGGATGCGAAGTCGACTGTATTTCCTCGGGTAGGAACAACAAACTCGTCAGCGATACATAGGAAAGGAAAGACCAAGGTCAAGCGCGCTGTGGGCAAAGACGTTGCGAAGAGTCCTCCAAGTAAGAAGCCAGCGAGGGAAGACGCCTTTGTTACGCCAAGCAAGAATGATGACGGCAGTAGATCACACCCACTTACTCCAACAACTCCGTCAACGTTCAAAGCCGCCACGGAGATGCAAGGGGTTGCGTTCCGACCAGTAGAAGAAGTCGAAGTTCATGGTAACGATGCCAAGCTTTTGAAGCTGTACGGCCAGTGTGGCACGTTCTGGTTGCGCGGGTGTATTCGAAACACAACGTTCAAGAGTGTGAAGGTCCCGGTGGCAAGTGTACTTGGCGCAAAGGTACGAAAAGCAAGAACTGAAGTCAAGACTGTGGCTATCAGTACAATCAACTGGGTCGACACGCGTTTCCAGCACCATGAGCCGAAGGTTTGCACCGCCACAATGCTCAGAGGTGACTTGGCTACTATAATAAGTATTGAACAGGTTGTTAGGTATTCAAAACTACGCCCGGATAATGGCAGCCGCGGCTTTCGACAAGTCCCGAACGTTCCTCAAGATTTCGGCGTACAAGTCCGAGCACGACGACATGCTGCTTCCCGACAAGAAGGAGCTCAACGTCGAGCAAGAAAGGGACGAACACCAAG